GTTGTCCACCCCTATCATTTTATTTTTATTTTTTAGATTTTTTTTTGTTTTTATTTTTTTATGATACAGCATACAAAAATACATACAACCCCCAATTTTCAGCCTTCTACGTTCAACCGCTTTTTTAGTATTTAGTTAGTACGCTCTTTTATTAAACTAAAAAAAAATCCTAGAAATAATATACATGTCAAAACAGCGTTTGCCGGGTCAGCTAGTTAGAAATATCTTTAACAATTCTGATAATTAAACGCGCTTACACGGGTGAGGGATAGATTTTAATACAGTAACATACAATGCACTCTCCACAACATGGTTTAGTTGCAATGTTCATATATTTCAGCCTGTGTTGAAAAGCGATACGCTTAGGTGTTTGACTCGAAAATACCAGTTTGGTTACGATTAAATAGTCACTATTTCAATTTGCAAGGTACTTATACTTCTCTAGTTTACTTGAATCATATGAATGCGCGTATCCTCATTGGATACGCGCTTTTTAAGGGTTATAATAAAATATTAAGAATATTGTATCATAAGGATTTATCAGCGTAATTCGCTTATGTTTCGAGCTTTGGCTTTACAATACAATTTATCTATATATAAGATCCTGACATTTACCACCTTGCCTAAGAACCCTCTGAGGAAATATTTTAGAAAGCGGGAAGATTTTGACTTTATTTCGTGATAAAAAAAATTTCTTTAGAATATTAAGTTGTAGTTTGATAATTTCAGTTGTTTTTTCTATTCATGTACCTAATTGACATAAGTTTTGTTTCGTATATTTTGTTTAACAATGTAATTTGTTTTGGCTTTGGAATATCTAAGTGATTTCTTTTTTATATGTAGATCTGTAGCTGTAAGATTACACTATTGGTATTGGACAGAAACCGGTGGATACAGATTGTCCGTTCAAGATGGTTCCTTACTAAGACATGAGCTGCTAACGAAGGTTACTTATAAATAAATAAACAATCATATATATATGATTACAGGTTATAGTTAGACACCATTAGTTAGACATGGTTCGTAGTATGCAACAAAAGCAGTCACTTAACACAAACTGTCTAATTGAAACTAAACTTACGGATCGATAATTCCTCACCAAGTCTCCGGGGACAAAGAGATTTCCCGGCTTTATCGGAATTGTGAGGAGCCGTGCGTATAAATCTTTAATTTGATTAAATTGTCGTCGTATTCTGGAGGCTTTTTGCATTGTTTTTTGCGTCGTTTATCAAGTTAAAGACGTAAAAATCCCATGTCATGCTGAACGCTTATTTTCGTTCTACCTTTTCTAAAATAGGTAAGTATAAGTAATATATAAGTGGTAAAGTAGAATCAAATACGAGCTTGTAGTATAAGTACTAGTCTAATCTAAGAACTATTGTTACCTCTTTGGGCCTTTCGTAAACACAAAGGTTAAAAAAAATCAGTGGCGCTACAACCTCTTTAGGTCTTGTCACAATGTTCGTTCCCATACTCCTCCGAATCGGCTCTACCGATTCTTATGAAATTCTCTATGCATATTCAGTAAGTCTTAGAATCAGCTACTATCTATCTTTCAAACCCCTAAGTGATAAGGGGTGTCCACCCCAATTTTTTTTTTAATTTTTAGACAATTTTTTTGTTTTAATTTTTTATGATACACCATACAAAAATACATACAACCCTTAATTGTCACCCCTCTACGATCAACCCCTATTTTTTATTATAGTAGATAGTTATTTTTATTGAACTAAAAAATGTTTCCTAGAAATACGTGGCAAAACGACGTTTGCCGGGTCAGCTAGTGACTTATAAATTTAAAGGCGCATCTAAGTCTGATTTAAGTGTAATTAATATTATAGTGTTCCGTTTCACCTCTACATACGATATCTGTCATACTATAAAGTTTAAAAAACTATACAATATCTTGTCCTTGTCGCTTTTAAAATATCTGCAACTTTACGTTGCATTCAGTTAGACCATTTGGCTGAGCGTTTCGTTAGACGTTTTTGCCGCGCGTCACTATGTGGAACCAGTTGCCCACTGAAGTATATCCGACCCAATCGACTTAGGCTCCTTCAGGGAAAGAACGTACTAATTCTTTATAGGGCGGCAACGTACTTGCAAGCCTTTTGGCAATGTGAGTGTCCATGTGCGGCGGGTATCAGTTAACATCAGATGAGCCTCCTAAACGTTTATATGCACGGTTATATAAAAAAAGTTATACTGATTACGCATATATAATATACATTACAAGAAATAGGGCATGCCCTAGAATAGTCGTCACATCTATTCATCTCCCACAAATAAATACACCCGAAGTAATTACCAAGCGATGACACACATAAAAGTGTATGTGTAGAATGTTGCACGGTCACTGCGCAGAGCCGGGACAAAATACGAGAAATGCTCCAATACGATGTTCATTCGCTACGTATATTGCTGTTATATTTTTTCTTTCGCTGTCCTGTCTCTTATATTTGTAATATTTATTATTTAATGAAGGAGGGCATTCGTAACAAGACGTGAGTGACGTAGTAAGAGGTGTCGCAACATCTAAGTGGCGGTAGGCAGGCTTCTTGAACATCGGCAGAACAAAAGACAGCGCGACACCGAGTAGACTGATGACATCATCAAAAAGGTTGTCTCCCAGTGGATGCAGAGAGGCCAATACAGGGCGTACTGGAGGAAAATGTAGGCCCTACGACCAGAAATGGACCAAAAACGAGGCTGATGCTAAAGATTAGTTTATGTAAACTTCATATTAGATACTTATTATTATTAGATTACCTACTTTTTTTTCATGCTTTTGTAGGTTAAGAAAAAAATTTAATTTGTATTTAATTTTTTCTTAGTAATAAAAATAAATAAATAAAAAAGACAGTTTAAAACAAATTAAAAAAGTTTGGTCCCTGTGGCAGTGTACCTTTAACGCTGGCAGCATTTCCTCGCTGTATTGCGATACTTATTCGTTGAGCCAGGAAAGCACCAGTTCTGGGGTCACCGGTATTATCTACTAGGCGCCAACTTAAATCTTTAATAAGCGCCTGTATTTATTTTAAAATTTGTTAAAAAAAGCGGGATAGGCCGTTAGTATAGTAGTATAATTACTTTTAAAACGGTTTAGCTGACCTTTACCGAACCATTAAAAGATCTTCATTTGAGACTTATTACAGCCCACAGATTTGTAAGTCTTGTCACGTTTTTGTATGAATTAAGGGTAAAAGAGGTGGCCCGATCCCCTATTTCCCTGTCAGATCTTGATATTATGTTAAATTTATATTTTTACGCCGCTGCGCGATCTTGTTTTATGTGTATTTTGTGGGAAATCATATTGTTATTATTCATAGAATTTGTTTTACGAAAGTGGTAGGATACAATCACGTCTTATAAGAAAAATATATCTAAAGTATGTGCTTATATCGAAATAACTATGATAATTTTGTATTAAACAACCAGATGGTCCACCAAGGGTCCGTGTGCCATGAGTTGTCAGATAAAAGAAACAAATTAGCGGTCAAATTAAATGTTTCAGGCTGAATGCTGAGGAAATCAAACTTTTTGACACAACAGAAATATGACGCCTAAAGAGAACTAAACCTTTTGAGTTAATAAACCTAGTGTAGTGAATATAAGTACAAGTGCGGTATCTCGGACACATGAACATAGTGTCAAAACATTATAGAACACAAGATTGATAATTAACTAGTATTGTAGAAAATTAAGTCAACATAATATTACTTATTTGCCATAATTGTTGTATGGGCTAGATTGTAATTCATGTAAAGTCGCGCTCTTTTTTGTGATCTTTTTATTTGAGGAAAATAAAAATAACTGATTTTGCCTCGGGTCGTACAAAATCCACCATACTACTAAGATAGTTTAATATATTTAAACTAATTACTCGGTTCTACACAAAAACTGTCAACATATATGCATATGCAGATATACAACTTCCTAAATTGAGACAATCAGCGTCCCGCATACATCCTTTGTGGGACGCATTCTCTCGTACCACAAAAGCGCCCTCCTTCTGTGAGTCACAAAACAACTCTTGCTTCGATTTAATATGAACTACCATGTTGGTGCGATGGTCCTAATAGAGTTGCTGGCGAATTTTAACTTTGACCATGATGAGCGAGCTAAGAAGCTGTCGCTCTTAGACATTAATCGCGTGTTCGGCACAGAAGGATAACCTTACAGTATAAGATAACTTAATAAAAAGAAATCAGTGGCGCTACAACTTATGTAGTAGGTCTGGGCCTCAGATTTCTGTATGTATTACACGATCATTAACCAATCTTATAGGCAAGTAGGTGATCAGCCTCCTGTGCCTGACGCCGTCGACTTTTTGGGTCTAAGACAAGCCGGTTTCCTCACAATGTTTTCCTTCACCAAGCGAATGTTAAATTCGCACATAGAAAGTCCATTGGTGCACAGCCGGGGATCGAACCTACGACCTCAGGGATAGAGTTGGACGCCTAAGCCGCTAGGCCAACACTGTAATTAAAATAAGATTACTTAACTATAAAAACATTATCAAAGATATATAAAAGATTTTAGCAGTTCTTTCTGGTTTAGTAGTCTTACAAATACTATCATTGCAACATTGAACACCTAAGCGGGTATAAAAAATAAAGTTCCATATACTTTATTCCCTCATGCATTGAAAGGGTTAAAACCATTTATTTTATTATACAACCTCCATTAAATTATAGCTTAATTGTGCTTTATGGTGTTGCCAGGTGTTACCTTGTACTTTTAATGTAGGCTTCGTGTTTATTAAATGGTTCATGCAAAATTGTTATTGTAATAAATCTTTGGTGTCCCTTCGTTGTGGTTCTGAATACAAAATATTGCAAATATCTTTCTTATATTTATTGCTTTAAATTTCAATTTTCCTTCCGGAAGAAAACATTTTTGTTCACATTACGTATATAAACAGACTTCGCAAGATTCTTTATTAATGTGTATACTTATTGAAATCCCAACCGCCGAAGAACTCATTGGACTAGCGAAATTCAGTTAACAGCAAGGGCCATACTCACATTCCCACCCAATTCGCCAGGATTTGTAGAGCTGAGGGAGGTCCAGTTCATCCCTTCTTTTGGCCGCATTAGCCGCTGTTCTCCTACTGAAGCGCCTGCGTGCTTGGGATTATATATATAATATTGCACGGTGGAACGGCGAAGCTGTGGTCTCCTACGGCGACGCGGATGGGCTGCGGGATCAACATTCCTAGCCCCCTCCGTCTCTTCTTCATGTGGCGTGACGACCTCGCAGTATCTCTGGAGGGTTTTCCACGTGCCTTCACTGTCCGTGCTTGTAACTGCTACTCTCACAATGGTGTGACAGTAGCGTCCTCCGTCCAGTTCTAGTCGCCTCCTTTTCACCTCCTTCACAATCATCCAACAGCAATCCTTCACAGTGCAGTTGGTAACAGCTAACCTGACCGGATGTAACAAATCAAGCTCATAATTTGGCACTTATGAGCTTGATTTGTTACACAGTTTTACTTTTATTTTTAGTTTTTTTTTTGTTCTTCGCTTCTCGAGACATGCCGCACTTAACGATATCATACGCCGTTCCCTTGCCACCGTCAACGTGCCAAGTCTACTTGAGCCGAGTGGTATTGCTAGAGACGATGGCAAGAGACCGGACGGTATGAGTTTGATTCCATGGAAGACGGGCCGGGATGGTATGGGATGCAATCTGTTCAGACACGCTGGCCCCTTCCCATCTACATGGAACCAACTACAGAGCTGGTGCAGCTTGTGAAGCGCCTGAAAAAACTAAAGCATGCAAATACAGGGGTCTAGGCGCAGAATATGAATTTGTCCCATTCGGTGTCGAGACCCTTGGTCCGTGGGGTCCTAGCGCTCTAAGGCTTTTTAAAGACATAACAAAATGGTTAGTCGACATCACAGGAGACCGAAGATCTGGCAGCTACCTCGGACAAAGAATTAGTCTAGCGATTCAAAGGGGGAACGCTGCCAGTATCTTCGGAACCTTGCCTAAAGGGACTCCTTTTAATAATATATTTTAGTTTATCTTAAGGTTAGTTTTTTTTTTCAATGTATATTATTTTAGTTATTATATTTTATTATTGAAATATTTAGTTATTAAATGATGTATATAAGGAAACATCCATATTTATTATAATGTCTCATTTGGCACTAACGTGGCGATAACTTAATACGTTTTTCAATTTATTAAAAGAATCCTAGGCCATTTCAATTCGAAATTTATTTAATTGATCGTAATCCCATGTTTTATCAACCATGCTCCTAAGTATTGATGGAATCAAGATCATTTTATAATTATAATGATCTTCATAAATGGCCGTCTATGTATTGGCCACCGCTATTTCGTTTTTCACGATTCTGGTATTCTGAACACATTAGGCATTCACTCTTTATCTCGAAAAGGCAGAATAACGAGCGATTTGATTCGTCCTAGTTCCTTTCGCTATCATTATTTATTGTTATTGTTTCTACCGCTCGGCCGAATTGATCATAGGGTAAACTAAACAATTGGAAATGAAACAGAACTGCTCCTATTGATTAGTTTTTTTATATCCTTTTTTAGAAACTTAAAATTTTTTTGCTTACTCATATATTATGTACTTTTTTTGTTATGACTCAGTATGACTTTGCTGTGGAATGCAAGCCTGGTTATCCATATCACAGGTTCTTCTTAATTGTAATCGTACTGTTTGTTTCAAATGTTATATGAGAGATAAGAAAGAATTATTATAATGCATTTATTATTCTAGTTATTAATGATTCACAATTAAAGTATAAACCTCTTCCCTGGTTTGATTTTTACTAATAAGATTATAGTCCTATGTACCTTTTATGTGCATCTATGAAGTGTGTTGAATGTTGAATATAATTATGTCACTTAGGTATTTTATTTATTTATAATACGAAAATATATCGCCCTTCATACTTCTAAAGACAAGGAGCCCTTGTCACATGGTTAAACTAAAAACTTTTTTAACCGAAAATAAACTCATTGCAGCTGTTTTATAAATAATAACTTTTCAAAGCGTCTAAAGAAGTATAATTCTATTACGATCGCTACACTTATTTTAATGAATATATCATGAAATATGCCGAAATGTATCTACTTAACTAAGTAGAATATTAAATAGTTTCATTTATAAATCACCTGATTAGGATACACTATATTATTCCAAAAAATAAACAAGGAATAATGTAGGTACCTTGTTCCCTCGTACTGCATCCGGCAATTTTGCGTCCAACTATAAGTGTTTAGTCTGTGCTCTGATACTGCGTTGTTTATTTTAGTTAAGCCTTGATATTTGACATTTATTTGGGATCTTCCAATTCGGTTTACTGGAAGCAATATTTGATGTTCTAGTATGTATTTTTTATTGCGTTCCTTGTATACGCTTGTGGACATGTGTGTTATAATAACATTATGGATAAATGCGGAAAACAAAGTTTTATCCGAATATCGTAATCATATGGTTTGAGCCTTGGAATATTTTCATAAGATAATTTGCAAAACGACGAAGATTTCTCTAGAGACAGATTATTCTTTAACTCAAGAGCTTTTTTATATTTTTAAGATAACATAATCAACGTGAAAGTTTTATCATTACAAAGTGGTCTTTGATTTTGTAATTCACAACACAATTTTATAGCTTATATTAAGATTATTTTTGATTATTTATATTAGTAAAAAGGACTATAGAGGATATTATAAAATGAGGATTTTGATTTAATTTGTACAGATCGGGTGAAGTTTGTTTAGTTTTGTCATATATTTGGTTTGTGTAACAGTTTTGCTTCTATTCACGTGAAGGTTTGATTTTTAACACAAGTATTTCCTTCCATTGAAAAATTCCACCTGGTATATATATGAATGATTCAACAAACCCATCAACCAATCCACCTGTTGCATGTTGAAACAATGTGATATATAAATTCCGCATATTTTCGAGGGAGATAAGCAAATTGAATGAATTTTTAACATCGCATTAAAACGCAAACTCACACACTGACACGCTAACACATTACATATTCCCACACACACCTCAACCAATAACTTGTTAGTAAATCTCGGTATGTTTTATATTAATAACAAAAAAATTGTGAAACAAAATACTTGGCGATTAAAAAGAGTGGCGTAGAGTTTATTGCCAGTTCTTGTCTTCCGTTCTACACCCTTGATCTGAAAACTGACAGTAAATTTAAAATTAGAAGCATTTAATATATATTTCTTTTTATAAGTTCATAAGTATACATTGTGTTACATATATGAATAAATGATTTTGCCTTTTGACTTACAATTTATTTTATATAATAGTAATAATAATTCTTCTTATATTCGGTGTAATCCATTTTGGCTATTTTTTGAATCTTATAATTGTAAATATTATTTTAAAAAAAACTAGATTGTCAATAACTGTTATATGAATAATAATACATGTCGCTGATTGCTAAGCTACACCAGAGAGAAGTAAAAAACCACAGATTAATGCTAATACACTGATATAATTGTACCCTCGTAAATATTCATAGGATTCCAAACTGATTTAGGGACATTTATGTGACGTCAATTGTGTTGATCCAATCTGTTGGGTATATGGTTGATTAATTAACACCTATTGATTGCAGAGACTCGCCGTTTGATGTGGTCCTGGTCGAGGGTGCTTGCCGCATATTAATATACCTATAGGGATTCACTTGTATAGCACCTACAAAGAGGCAATTAGTAGAAAGCCTAGAATAGGTTTTAATAGAGGTATATGTGAGGTGATTAGGAATAAATATGATTTAAGGGAAATGTGGGTATTACGATATATTGCTTTGTTTTGAATTACTAGACGAACAATATTTATTTGAACGGACGCGTGGTATAAACGAGTGCAGCTTGTCGTCAGACCTGAATTCGTGAATACGGTAGTATTATTGTTATTATTAATTTCAACCATGATTCTATCTTACTATGTGCCTATGATTATAGTCTAGTGGAATTTCTTGTCAGTTCTACGCGCTCGATTTAAGAACTGACGTTGATAAATGTTCCCGATTTGAACTAATAATTATTATTTTATAGGATAGGCAAACGAGACTGCGGGGCCAAAAAGGGCAATCATCGCAGTAAATGGATGTCCGTTTTAGTGGATGCGTTGTCGGCTTTAGAGGGAGGTATGTTTTTTTATTAATTGGAGGTATTATCTCCCGACTACCTCCACGGGAGTTGATTATATTTTGTTTTGTTTATTCGTGTTATTATTTATTACTTTATTCCACAGACCACGTCAAAAAACTATTTATGAAGTTTAAATAGTTATGTTAACTACATAATGAAGTTCAGAATGTGTGCTAAAATAAAATTAAATTGTTGCTTTGTGTGAAATGATCAGGCTACGTCAACAAAGAGCGATGATGAAATCAGCCCATCGCTTGACGACTTCATGATGTTCAACTGTTATTAGTATTATGATACATTTTGTTTATTTACTACTAAAGGTGTAAAAGTTTTAGTTTGAACAACACCACGGCGAAACTGATAGATGCAGGCAAACATATGTTGAATGATGATAATAAATATATGTTGTTACTCGTTATTTTAATTGTTAATTTAGTTTGCACATTTCCCCTAGTATAATTTTGTCTTTACTTGGGTGCCTAGAAAAGATTTCTTATTACCTCCTTAATAATAATTGATGTTATCTATAATTTAAAAAAATACCCATCTGTCATCAAAGAAAGCGAAATTATTAAAATTAGTTAAGACTATTCGACTGATTTAATTATGTGTTCTGTTACTAGTAACTGTACTGTGTAGTTCTGTTACTGTGTAGGTACTTTTTAAAAAATGTTTTAAGTGCCCGTATCTCACATACATATGTGTTTACTAAAACGCTCGTATCAACAGATCGTGTCGAATGTAATCATACAAGATTTGACAACTTTGACGAAACCGTTGATGTGTTTTCTATCTCCCCTAAGCTTTCGTCAACTTACACTGGGTTCCGGTTCTGACTCAGTATATAAACAAATATGTATATATATATATTTTCTATCACTTTTGTTATGATGTGTAGTTTCTTGAATCTCTATTTAATTGAATGTTATACATATTTTTTGTATTTCCTACTATGTACAATAAATAAATTGTACCTTTAACGTATTATAAATCTGTTTCGCCGACGGCTTTATATTAGATAATTTATTGGGCTTACAGACTTACAATTACATAGAGAAATTTTATTTGAATTCCTCAGAGACTATATTTTTTAGCACTCTTACAATAAACCGTAAAATAGTAGAGTAGAGCAGTGTTGGCCTAGTGGCTACAGCGTGCGACTCTAATCCCTAAGGTCATAGGTTCGATCCCTTGCTTGCACCAATGGACTTTCTTTCTATGT